ATAAGCCTTAAATTTTAGTTCGGTTGCATTTTATTTCCCCCTTCTTCAAATAATAAGTAATAAATCGAGCTCAAACTCTTGATATTTGAGTAACCAAGCTTGGTTCAATTACAAATATTAACAAATAAAACATTAATGAGTTGATGAATTATATAAAATTATATATAAATAAATATGTATATTTTAATTTTTAAACTTTAACAAATCAAACTTAACAAAACATCTCTAAACTTAGTTCGTTCATCGAACGAATCAAATCGAACAAAGCTGAGATCACGAGCAGCTCGTTTATCTCGAAAGCTCGAGTGGCCACCAAATGGTAAGATCAAGAACAGCTAAGTTTGGACAGATGCGCAAAGCTGTTCCATATTACTTACCTTCTCAACAATGCCATCATCATAATAAACAACAACTAATGTGTTACTACTAATTATTATATCACTTTTGTTTTCTTATGTTGCAGTATTTTAACTCTTTTTTTTTTTTTTTTTTTTTTTTTTTTTTTTTTTTTTTTTATCCTATTCTACCCCCCACCCCATCCCAATTCATTTTTGCCTCCCCAGGAATCGAACCCTGGATCTCTAGCAAGGAGGCAATGCCCCCTACCAACTGGGCTAGCCCCAGTGGCCCTTTTGTCGTGACGTCTTTATTCTAAGGGTTTTTTTGTCTTTTTGTGGAGGGTTTTTAGCTATGGGTTAGTTGTTTGGACAAAAATTGTGGGGCTTTGAAGGACAAAAAGATTAGGTTATTTTCACAAAAATGGAGGCTTTTTTTGGTTAAGACGTATATGTTAATAAGTTCATTTGTCAACATCTCAAAGTCTTGGGGACATTGATATATAGGGCTGCATTTAAATAAATTATAAATATATAGGTAAAATATCAATTATATTTACTACAATAGGTGTGTGCCGAAATTTGGAGCGATTTGGACACGAGTTGATATGTGTAACAACTATATCGTTTTATAATAGTCGTTATTCTAATGAGAAGTATAAGCATACAATATTTGTGCGACTAATGCAGTGTTTCAAAACGCGCATCGCGCACTGCGTCGCGTTTTGGTCCTTATATTGCGTAGCGTAAATAGCGTAGCGCATTTTCAAGCTATTCGAGCAATTCACTTTTAATGCCAAAAATAATAATATATAATCATACAAGCGAACAAATAATTAAAATGGTTTTAAACCATAAATTAACTTGGGCATTGAATATACAAAATGACATTCAAATATTAATTCTTTAAACAACCAAACCAAAGTCTTAATGTTTAAAGTAAAGACTCAAAATCTTAAAATGATCGGTGTTATCCAATTGATTTTAGCTATCATCGTCAATTCTATCAAAGTTATGGATATTTCACTACAAAAAATAATTGGTACAATGACACCAAATTCTAGCATCTCCTCATCATTTGGAGAAACAATGAAGTGTTCATCTCATCTCACTTTTGAGCTTAAGAAACATAAACATCACATTATTTTAATAGTCCAAAAGGTCAATTATAAATATGTTGATATCAATTTTTCAAATAATTTTTTTTTCAAGATAAATATGAAACATGATCTAATAATCACTCAAATTCATCATAGGAGAACTTACTCAATTTTGTGCCCTACATTTTTTTTTTAGTATTTTATTATTATTATTTTTTTTGCCTATAAATAAGGATTGCCCAAATAGCATGAGAAATAGCGCAAAATATAGCGTAAATTGCGTGCGCTTTTCTGGAACTGCGCGAAATTATATACGCTATTCGCGTTTTTGGGTGGATTAATGATATCGATGAGCGTAACTACTAACTACCTAGGGAACGAGTTTATTAAATTACCATAATTTAATATGGTAAGGAGATGTAAATGAATCGGACGTTTTACATACACAAGCTCGTTACAATTCTGATAAAACACGTTCTTTTAATAATCGACCAGGATTTGGATAAAAATTAGGCTTATTTGTTAATCGAAAGAAAAGTTCGATAATAATTGCAAACCTTTTATTGAATATACATATATATATATATATATATATAAACTATATATTTATAATAAAAGGTATAGAATACCAAAATATTTTGTTAATTTTTTAAATATTTAATTTAGAGTTGAACGATGTTGAACAAATCGTATTCAGGTTAACCAAATAACTGTGTAAATCTTGTTTATTAAGAGAAAAATAATAATAATAATAATAATAATAATAATAAAAATAATAATAATAATAATAATAATAATAATAATAAATCAAACAAACTAAAATTTTGATGAAC